ATATCTGTTAAAACAAAGGATGTTGTTATGATCACCGATCTTGGCAGCAGAGTATGTGTCATTATCGCAATATGCTTTCAACCAAGAGAGTTCAAAGCCATAGAGCAGCAAATGATGGATGGCTGTGCATGAAATGTTGCTGTATTTGATTTCAGTAGGCCATGAAGTCAGATACATCCACTCTATTTCACACGAGTCTCCCACTGCCAATTCCTGGAGACTTGTGTTAATATCACTGACATATAATGTACCCCCATGAACATAAGAGCCATTGATGCAGGCCGCAGAAGCAGAAGATTCTACTCCAAACGGTGGGCACCTCAAATATAACATCTGTTTTGTCAACTTAGTTTTCTCTGTATGCAACCTATATTGAAATGGTTCATAACCCACTGATGTGGTGAAATTGGAGGAGGTCAAAGAATAAGGAAGGAGAGAAGAGTGGTTGTGGCTATGGAGGGCAACACTCGCATCTACTAGTCGGATTGTGTAGTTGTTGTAGTTAATCGACTGCACTTGGAACTTGACTGAGTTGAGATAGAGAAAGAGTTGGTTATGATTCTCGCAAGAGAGGGTGTACCTGTGGTCACCACAGTTGGTTGGAGTCGGTCTACTATTATTCAGCCTGAAAGGGTGCCTTATTTCATGCCTCCCACACCACCCAGACGGACACATTGTTTTTTTATCTGCATCCGTTGCCACCATGGCATTCCCCCGGATGTCATAAATAGTATTGAAAACATTTAAAAAGATCCCCAGCAGCAGTAGAAAGGGTACCAAATATGAACAAAGGGATAACATTTTCTTTAATTTGGTATAGACATTAATAACAAGAGGCTAGAGATATAGATTTAAATATATATATATATATATATAACAAGAATTCACTTGCTACACAGTGCAGCACCACTTATCCACAAGGACTTAGTCTCCTGGAAACGTATGGCTCCATGGAAGAGTTGACCATCACTGTCACATACACAAGTCCACTAACCAGTCATAATACATGTGGTTTTTACCAAACTTTGTAATGACAGTGCCATGTCCCGTGAAGCATCTTAAAAGCCAAAACATTATTAATTTTCTGGATGAAAAGCTCAAGTTAAAGAGAAAGAAGCATCAGAGAAAATTCAAAATACAAGATCAGGAAATATGTTGGTTACAAACTTACAATGATTGGTTGGCCTCTTTAACAGCAAGTGGTTCATACCATTTTGGACCAAATCCGGCAGCTTTTATTGCTGTCTCATTAAAAGGTGGTTTTAAAGGCCCTCTGAAATATGTCCTCACTATTTCATGAAACTTTGGAATCACTTCATTCTCCTCAGTCCTCATTTCATTTTGTAATGAAAAAACTTTTTGCTCTTCTGTGTCTGAGGCCGGCTTTCTTGACCTCTGGCATAGATACTTGAACCATTTCACTCCAGCAGCACAATGTGTAATCTCTTCTGGGTAAACTACTCTTTCTAGTAGCTCTGCTGTAGTCTCATCCCCACCGTTGTGGAAACGGGAGATCGTTGCAGGCAGCACATCAAGAATTGGTATTTGTAATCATTTGATTAAGTTGGAATTCTACCACAGATTGTGGTAAAGATTGGATGTAGGCTTCAGTGGTAGAAACCAGGATACATCGTTGTGTCAATCTTCCTTACATTTCTCTTTATTGTTGGTAAAGAGACAAAATCCAAAATAGTCTCTTATTTTATCATTTTGCTGCTGAAACAGTAAGTTTTCATAGTAACTACACATATCCTTATTTCAAATAACCTTCACTAACCTATTTAGTGCAAAAATATATGGCATGAGAAAACAAAAATCTGCATATATAGCTGTTACATATAGACATTTGACCCTCACATAAAGGTGTAAGAACACCGACCATACTTGCAGAAAGAGAATATTAATTGTTGGAATAGAGTTTCAACAATGAGAGATTGAGAAGGAGTTCTAAATATGCTGGCAAAGTACCAAACTAAGCTAACATAACATTAAGTACAATTTATTCCATGTAGCTAACTATACTTAAGAGAAGTAAAAAAAAAAGAAGATTCAGCTGAGGCTAAATACATGCCAAGTATATTTGGATTATATCAAGTGATTTTTATTTGACAACTTAAAAACAAAAAACAAACTTTTCACCCCACATGCAGTTAAAAATCAATCTAACTCTTGGATCACTTCTAAATCTTGGGTAATTTGTCTTGCAGCCACACCCATTTTAGCATATTTTCTTGAAGTCTCTGTGGAAGCAAAAGGATTAGGAGGTATTGGTAATGCGTCTTGATCTCCCTCCAGCATTTGAACAACTGTCTGCATTGATGGTCGATCCACTGCATGCCATTGAATGCACCAAAGTCCCACTGTTGCTAGTTTCTTAGCAATTTTAGCATCCCCTTCATCTTCAATGTGAATCCTCAATTCATCACTCTCTTCTAAAACACTATGCATCCATTCTGGATAGTAAACATGGCTACTGTTTTCTTCTATGTCCTCTGTGATCTTCTTCCCTCCAATTGTTTCCAGCAGCATCATTCCGTAACTATACACATCAGACTTGTAGGATACATTTCCAAAGTTTCTTGAGAAAACTTCGGGTGCAATGTACCCTAAAGTTCCTCTAGCTGCTGTCATTGACACTACACTTTGATCCTTGGAACATAATTTAGCTAGACCGAAATCACAAATTTTTGGAGCAAAGTTGTTGTCTAGCAACACATTTTGAGGTTTGATATCGAAATGGAGAATTCGTTGATCACAACCTTGGTGAAGATACTCAATTCCTTTTGCCACACCTAAAGAAATTTCTTGCAACTTCTTCCAGCCCAAAAAGTTCTGCTTGTTGTCCGGCGAATTGATGAACTTCTGCAGCGAAGAATTCGGCAAGAATTCATAGATAAGAGCTCTTCTAAACCCATCAGCACAGAAACCAACCAACCGGACAATATTGACATGGTGGATTCTACCAATTATACCAACTTCATTGACAAACTCTTCCCCATTTCCCTGGGAATTATTCAGCATTTTGACAGCAACAGTAAATTCTTTTGAGATGCTTCCTTTGAAGACAGTTCCATAGGCTCCCTCTCCTAACTTGTCACCGAAGTTATTGGTAATTCTCTTGATTTCAGCATAAGAGTACCTGGTTGGCTTTTGAGCTCTGTAGTCTCCAAGAAACTTTTCAATGATTGCTTGTTTTTCTTTCTTCATTAAGCAAGTGTCATATATGTAGTAAACCGCACCGGTCATCAGGACAAGTAAAAATGATCCCAGTATTGATCCTGCATTTATCAATTCTCCATCTTCAGAAAATTGGTAATGATACCAAGAAAATCAAAAAATAGAAAGAAGGCATAAAAATGAAAACTGACCTGTTGTAATCAGAGCTGTTGATTGTCCTGCAACAACACCAGTAAACTTAGTTAATGCAGTCACTTGAAAAAGCAATAACCCTTAATTTCTTATGAATATATCTTGCTGCTCTATTTCCATAAGTGAGTGACAAATTTTGATTATGACATAAGACAAGAGTAACAAGTTAAAAGGTATATAAAACTAGTAGGAATCATGGCCTGGTTTATCAACTTGCTTCAATTAACCATTAATATAACATCTAAGCTTGCATCTATATGGTTTGAACATAGAATATACTCCAAAACAATAAGAGTCTATGATTAAGCTTAATTAAGAAGCTACCTTTGTGGTTGACTAAACAACTGGATTCATTCTTAGCACTATTCCAACTGCACCTGTTCCCTTTTGATTCACAATGTTTACAGTTTGGCTCAGACCATTTCAGATGAAGATAATTACCATCACCAACGAATATTCTGGGGACTGATGAAACATTGAACATTTTGGTGCATAATGAAAGTGGTAAGTGCTCAATTGTAGAGCTAGATCGAATTGCATATACGCTACTAGCTGAGTTGCTTAGGCATGTAATCAAGGAATACATGCTATTTCTTTCCGGTCCTGAACAGTTGAAGAAATCATAGTTATCATAGTTATCATCAGCTTTCATGTTGAAGTTGAAAGGTGAAGCTGAAAGATTGAGGCTATGGAGCATCCTTGGAAAGCAGCCATTAGGATATGATAACTCAATTCTTTGCTTTCTGTAGTCAATCTTGTTGACAGTGAAATTCAATGAGTCATGGAGCTCAATGAGAGTCTCATTAGTGTCTGTGCAAACCAGATCAAAGCCCGGATAACCGCAGTTTCGTGGTTGCCGGGCTTTGATCCTGAAAGGGAACCGGATTTCTTGAACTCCACATGTGAAATCTTGACATGTATCAGAGCCTGTTGATAACTCTACATTGAAGCAGAACATGAACAAAACAATTCCAATGAAAGTGGAGATTGTTAGAGCCAAAGAAAGAGCCATGTTAAAGTGTGTGGTTTATTAGCACATGAATTGAGAGCATTAAGTATGTATATAGCATTACAGAATTAAGTTCTAAATTATAACTCCTTTATTGGGTTTAACAGAATTTTCAATGATTCCTTAGTTTCCTAGTAGTTTCCACTTCTGAAGTCTGTGGTGCTTATGCTTTCAGGATAGAAAGAATTATTATTGGTACATGTATTAAGATGGAAAGAGAAAGAAGGGTTGTGTCGTTGTAAATTATTTCATAGGGAGTTGACTTGTGAAATTGATAGTCAAAGAAAAATGGAAATACAAGTTGATTTTTGACTAAAAGGGACACTCGTTTTCTCGAGACTTTTTCTCTAGTAAATAAAAGACCTTAATTTTTCTTAATTTTATATATATCTTTTCCTAAATCTATGTATAGCCACTGACTCACATGTATATTCTGAGGTAGAAAACAAGGAAATGTTATCCCTTTGTTCAATTTTACTATCACTTCTGCTGGTGTTGATGTTCTTGTTCAGTTCAAAGTTGAAATTAAACCAGTTTCACAATTGTTGTTAATTTTGGAATGAAGAAAGTTGGATAAAAAAGGATGATCCATATATGGATAGGCAGCTCCGGATCGGGACTTTGAACCCGACGTGAATCGAACAAACACGCAACCTTCTGATCTGGAGTTAGACGCGCTACCATTGCGCCACGGATCCGGATTATTCTTCGTTTTCAAGTAATTAATTAAAGGCTTTATCACTTTCGGTGATTTGGTTAGTTTTCTTTGTTTTTGGAAAGTGGTCAGTATTTTATTCACGTTGTTGACCCAACTATATGGGCCTTCTTAATTGTTTGGAGTTCATTAACTCTTGTATCCGGGTTGGGTCTGCTTTGTAGATCTAGCCCATGAAATAAAACACTCTTGTGTTGAATACAAAAAACAATTAAAGATTCAAACAGTCCAAAAGCAGAACAAAAATTTCAAGATTCAAGTAAAAGAGATTATATCCTGTCCAAAACACTAAAAAAGGAAGTAAGAGATATCAATGTTTCAAGGGGAAAAAAAAGAGGAAGTACTTTTAATTAGTCAATAACTCAATATTAGCTAAGTTTGGGATTTAAGATAAATAATTTTTTTAAAAAAATAGTTACCTAGCATTGTTAAATAAATAAATAAATAAAAATGATAGTGAGCAACATAATAATTACGCTTTAGATGAAATTTGTATTATTAGTTAATTTTCTTACAGTATATACATATATACTAAAAAAGTTCAAAATAATCTTCTCCAAAGAAAGCAAGAATTTTACAAATTAAAAAAAAAAAAAAAAAAAGTGCTACGTGTTCTCTTCCCAATTCCCCTTCCCCATCTTTCATAAAGAAAGAAGAAAAAAAATTGCCATCCAAAGTTAGCATCTTGGACTGAGATTGGCCACCCACTCAGCTGGTATCGGATGCCATCATGAGTCATAAACATTGACAACAAAATTCATTAATTCCTTATACATTTTAATAATGATATTTAATTATTTATTGTTCTTTCTTTCTCATTATGCCAAGTCAACGAAAATTACTTTTTATATGGCCTAACAATAGGTGTAATCTCATATTATGTGACGCAGTAGGTGATTTGCCTTAATATGGCGCAGCAATTAGGATTGAGAAGAATTCGTCATTAACGGATTATAATTTGGATTATTATGATTAGAGTTAAGAAAAATCCGTCAATAACGAATTATTTTTTTTTTCTTCACAATGCATCATTGACGCATTCTTTGTTATTTTTTTTAAAAAAATGCATTAGATTGAATCTGTCAGTGACGAATTGCTTGTCTTTTTTTTTTCTTCACAATGCATCATTAACACATTCTATTTGTCATATTGAATGAAAACACCACCATGCATTCATATTGGAATAAATCTCACACCATGCATCCATATAAAAAAATCAGCCGCGGTTCAAAGCGTTTCATGAACCGTTTTTGTTTTTACTTTAAAATAAAATTTTATTTATTCATAATTATTATTTTATAATTTAGAAGTTTCTAGTAGTATTCATACTGTATGATAATGTTTTGACTTTCGATAAATTGACAAGTTCTAATAATTTTTTAAATAGCATAAACTCATAAAGTCTCTCATGGGAACTAATAAATAACAAATTACAAAGCCGTACAATCAAAGCATCGGTGATATGGGTCATTTCACATGTGCTGTGCATTGGATAACATAACCAAAAAAAAAAGTTAGAAACCCGTATTTTTCAAAAAAAAAAAAAAAAAAAGTGTTGCGAACCAATATTAAAGAAGATAATAGGAAACTAATATTATTTTTCTTTCTTTTTTTTTTTCTTTTTATCACTCACTATTTTCCTAATTACACCAATTGACTTCTTATTGATCCCCCTAACATTAATTCCCTAGCATTACTCTTTTAAAAAACAAGTAAAGGTCCAAAGCCCGTATTTTTTTTTTAGGTTCAATGAAGATGTAATTATCATTTTTATATAAAGATTTAGTATTTTAAGTTATATTTTAAAAATAAATAGTAATATTTTAAAAAAATAATGTTTATATATATATATATAATCTTGCTATTTAAACAAGTGATTTATAAAAACAAGTGGTTAACCAAGTGATTTACAAAAAACCACCACCACTCTTATTTAGGAACGCGTGTTTACACGCACTGATAGATGTTACTTTCTGAAACGTATTCTCATCACCGCTTTTCAAGAACATTCAATTCATCGTCGTCCTCATTATTATTATTATTATTATTCTTCTTCTTATCTATTTTATGTTGATGTTGTTGTTGTTCCTGCTGTTGCTACTGCTATTATTGTTGTTGTTGTTGCTGCTGTTGTTGTTGCTGTAGAAAAATATGAAGCAATAATGCGCAGAAATAGAAATCAACATTGCGCAGAAACAGAAAGTAATAATGCGCAGAAATATAAAGCAACATTGTGCAGAAACAAAAAGCAATAATGAGCAGAAACAGAAAGCAATAATTCGCAGAAATATAAAGCAACATTGTGCAGAAACAGAAAGCAATAATGCACAGAAATATAAAGCAACATTGTGCAGAAACAAAAAACAATAATGCGCAGAAGTAGAAAGCAACATTGTGCAGAAACAGAAAACAATAATGCGCAGAAATAAAATATTCTTCTTCTTTCCTTCCTTCCTTCATTCTTCCAAGTCTGCATCTACATCTTCTTCTACTTCTTCTTCTTTGTCTTTCATTCCTTTCTTCTTCCATGTCTGCATTTGCAGCATCATCATCATCATCATCATCATCATCATCATCTTCTTCTTCTTCTTCTTCTTCTTCTTCTTCTTCTTCTCTGTTTTACATTATTGTTGTTGTTGTTGCTACTATTGTTGTACAGAAATATGAAGCAATAATGCGCAGAAATAGAAAGCAACATTGCGCAGAAATCGAAAGTAATAATGCGCAGAAATAAATTCTTCTTCTTCTTCTTCTTCTTCTTCTCTATTTTATGTTGATGTTGTTGTTGTTGTTGTTCCTGCTGTTGATGCTGCTGTTATTGTTGTTGTTGCTATTGCTGTTATTGTTGCTGTAGAGAAATATGAAGCAATAATGCGCAGAAATAGAAAGCAACATTGCGCAGAAATAGAAAGTAATAATGCGCATAAATGGATTTTGAATTAAAACAGAAAAAGGTTATTGGAAGTTACCACTCAAATGTACTCCATCTTCAAGAAATGTTCAAAAAAGCGAAATCTAAGAACAAAAGAATCAAACAGAAAACCAAAACCAGATCTAACAACATTGAAGAAAAAGAAAAAACAATTACAAGAGCTATATGGCACAGATAGCGTCACAATTGAAAAACAGAGTAGAACGATATTGCAGAAATCACAGAACAAAAATAAATCACGAATCACAGATTGCAAATCATGAAATTCAGAACAAGGAAGAAGAGATAGTAGAGAACGACGAAGAAAGCTCAGAGAAAATAAAACGGAAAATAATAAAAAATGAAATTAGGCGCGTCCAAAAACAATATATTAATTATAATAAGGGATTGAAGCGTGTGAGGTTACTTGCTTAATATGAAATTTTTTTATATAAAATAGTTTTAGAATTTTTATTGTAGGATCCACATTATTTTTGTCAATATCAGTTAATATTTTTAGTTAAGACTTTAATTTTATACTACTAGTGTAATTTAAAATTTTAAGATTTGTTGATCAAATATTTAGTTAATAATAAATTTTATTAGTCGTGGCATTTTTTCAGAAAAAAACATCTAAAGTTACTAATCACTTTAAAGAAAAAAATAATAATCTAATTATTTTTAAATTTATATTTTTTATTATTTGCTGTTCTACCATCTTACTTTTAAGTGATTAGAACATCTACTTTTTTTCTCTAACGTGATTAATAATTTTAGAAAAATTTGATTTTTTTTCTTATAATTTGTTTTGATTTTACACATACTTCAAGTGTATATATATATATAATCTACTTGTATTATTATTATATATTTCTATATATTTTTTTTAATTTTATTTTAATTTTTGTATTGAAGTACATTATTTTTATGTTATATGTAAATGTTTCTATACTATATATAGTATGTTGTATTCATATGTTTTATGAATTTTTTTTACTAATATTTATATTTTTCGTGTTATAAATGGTGTGTAATTATGTATAAAACATGTAGTATTACTCATAAATATATATATATATATATATAATGCATTTCTGTAGTGATTTTAAAATATGCACGTTTTGAAAAATTAATATATTTTATATAATTATTAAAATAGAAAGCCTAATTAGTTAGTTAGATCCTCATTACAATGATATTCGATTGTGAATAAATAAATGAAATCTCCCTTCAAATGCATCCATTAAAAACTGAACATCAGAAGAATTTTCGCAAAAGAACATAAACTATATATTTTAATTTGTACACCTGGTCGATACAAGTTGCCTAAGAACTTGGATGTTAAAATTCTCCAAGGAAAGTAAACTAATGAAAAAGAAGAGGATGTAACACGTGTTCTATCATCGATCAATAATCTTTTGTGTAGAAAAGTGGTATCACCCTCTTCACAGATTCTGCAGTTAGTGGTGCTAAATGGTTTGCTGCTCAATTGGTGGCTTTAAACTTCTTAATAATGGGCCAAATTCTCGTATAGTTTTTTATCCATCTAAATTACACGTAGCTTTATGTCTCTAAATTTGAATATTTAAAATTCGAGTTAAATAGATAAGTTTATGAGTTAAATAAGCTTATCCATTTGAAAATTATCCGAAATTCTAACTTGTAACCAAGATTTTGAGAAGCGGATCGAAAATTCAATAACTAATCTATTGTTCCGTCCAATTCTAAAGTAAAACTCGATCAATAAAAACTGGTTGAACCAATAGTTAACTAGTAAATTGATTAAATTGATCCGATTTTTAATGAAAACCAACTCTTAAAGAAAATTATTATTATATTGTAAACAATTTTATATTTTATTTTAAATTATTTAGTTATGACAAATTTTAAGTTATATATATCAAATAGTATAAATGTATAGATATATTATATCTGCGGTCAATTTTATTTATCACTTTATATACTAAAAGTCAATAATTATTATTATATCTTTGTATTATTGTATATTTTTATATCTATACTGAAAAATACACATTTTATTATATATTTAAAATAAATTGATCCGATCACAA